AGCCCGATGCGGGACTCGATCCCAGGACTCCAGGATCATGACCTGAGCCGAAGGCAGTCGCTTAACCAACTGAGCCACCCAGGCGCCCTCCTGTAGTGTTCTTTATGGCAGAAAAGTATTCTGGTCTAGGATCCAGTCCAGTATCACACATTGTATTTAGCTCTCATGTCTCTTTAGTGTCCTTCAATCTAAAATAGTTCATCAGTCTGAAATAAACTTGGGTCTTTAATGGCCTTAATGCTTTTGAAGCATATGGACTCTCTTAAAGAATATCCTTTAATATCAGTCTGAGAAGCTTTCTCATGAATAGATTGATGTTATTTGGTGTTTTTAAATTTTATTTTAATGCCAGTATAGTTAACTTATTACTTATTTTTGACAGGAATACCACAAAGTGAGGATCACTGACCTCCATGCATCACATTAGAGGGCACATGATACAGGTTTATCCCATTACTAGTGATGTTAGTTTTGATTACTTATTTAAGAACAATAGTTTCTGCCAAGTTTCTCCTCTGTGAAGTTACTACCCTGCACTTTGTAATTAATAAATACTTTTCCAGGGGAGTACTCTGAGACTATGTAAATATCCTTTTTTGTAATGTGTTAAGGGCCCCTGGATTCAGTAATGCTAAACCTCTAACTACCCCAGTTATATAAAACTAATATTGCCTATTTTGTATTAGCTAATTTGAATTGGGCTTTTCCTTCAACCATTTGGAAGAGCTCTGCCTGAAGTGGGGCTTAGGAGAAATTATCTTCCACTTGTGATTTTTTTTTTTTAAAGATTTATTTATTAGAGAGCACAATCAAAGGGTGGGGGAGGAGCAGACGGAGAGGGAGAAGCAGACTGCCTGCTGAGCAGGGAGCCGCATGTGGGGCTCAGTCCCAGGACCCTGAGATCATAACCTGAGCCAAAGGCAGAAGCTTAACCAACTGAGCCACCCAGGCACCCCCTATTTGGGAATTTCTAAAATTATCACCACAGAGGAAGGGAGGGAAACATAAAATATCAGAGAAGGCTACAAAGCATAAGAGACAACTATAGGAAACAAACTGAGGTTTCTGGAGGGGAGGTGGGTGGAGGGATGGGGTAACTGGGTGATGGGCATTAAGGAGGACATGAGCACTGGGTGTTATATGCGACTGATGAGTCACTGACCTCTACCTCTGAAATATATACTACATGTTAATTAATTGATTTTAATAAATAAAATTAAAAAAATAAAAGTGTCACCACAAAAGGGGAAGCTTACTCAGTCCAAAAGGGGTCAGTCTCCTCCTGGTTCTGGGTGGAAGGAGATGGAACCCAGTCAGTCCCTGCCAAGCAGGATGCATGGCATCCAGGGTATGGCTTTTCAGTGTACTAACACCTTCAACTAGTGGCAGAGGTGGGTGAAGCGCCACAGGGGTTGGGCAACCAGCTCAGAGTATTTCCTAAATATCCTTTTAAAAAAAAATCAGACTTTTATTTACTAGTTTTAGAGTCTATTAATTCCTGCAACATTTACCATAATACATTTATTTTTTTTTAATGATTTATTTATTGGGGTGCCTGGGTGGCTCAGTCAGTTAAGCATCTGACTCTTGATTTCGGCCCAGATCGTGGTCTCAGGGTCGTGGGATTGAGCACCATATTGGGCTCTGTGCTCAGCACAGAGTGCTGGGAGCACGGGACAGGGAGCAGGTGGAGGGATAGGGAGGGAGAATTTAAAGGAGACTCCCTGCTGAGCACAGAGCTTGATCTGGGGCTCAATCTCATGACCCTAATGACGTGAGCTGAAATCAAGAGTTGATTGCTCAAATGACTCAGCCACCCAGGTGCCCCTCTAACACATTTAGAATCAGAGTTATTTGTTAAGGACAAGCTAATAAATGGGATATGAGGGTGGATTCTAAGCTTTATTCCTCGCTGAATCCCAGGGAGATTTTGCTATTGTCATTTAACTTGTTTATGCTGCTTTAGGGTTGGAAAGGCATATTCCTATCTGAGAATATACTCTAACCTAGGGACAGAAAGGCAGAACTTGCTTGACTCCCAAGTCTCTGAGCCAGGCAAGCCCCAGAGATGCCCTACTCTTGGTATAGGCTGAATAGTTCTCTGGTCATGGAGGCAGCTCATGAAGTCAGCATGGCAACTGTTTTTATGATGAACCAGTCATGAAAATTTGGGAATTTTTGTCTATACAAAAAGCCTTAGAACTAGTCAGGACCTTAAAGATGTTTCATGTAATGACTCAGAGTGTGCAGTAATAAATTCAGGATCACACAGTTTCTGGCACATTTGTCTGTGGCAAAGCTCTCCATACAGTGTTGTGGGGATGACGGAGAGGGATTGCTTTCTGTCAGATTAGGATCACTGTCCCTACTTGCTTCTATTTAGGTCACACATGTTGGGCCCTGGGTGGGTGGGGAATGTCTGCATTTAGGGTCTGACTCCACTAGAGGCGATTGCCTGTTTTCTGTGTTACGGCTTTTTCAAGGGAAATGAGCAACTTTTCTATTCAGACTCTCAGTATAGAAAACATAAATATTAAACAACTGAAAACTTGAGCAGTCATGCAACAAAGATGTGGTGCAGAGTTCCTAGAGAGACCTCTAGGGGAAAAGATAGCATGTATCATAATATTGGTTTATTCTTTATGATAATATTCTTTAGTCTTGTGTTTTTTTTTAAATTTTATTTAATTTTTAAATTTTATTTTTTGAAGCCACTTTAGTCTTGTGTTTTTGTTTTTAAAATTAAAAGGCCCCAAGTCTTTATTATGAGCTGTTAGGTAGAAATAGCTGTTTGTACCAGATAACAATGTAGGGAAATCGTATATACACAGAAAACAATGTTACTGGTAGCGTTACTAGGCAGGTAAATAGGAAAGAACAGTTTTTTATCTTGCAAAAATTTATGGGAATAATGGATTTGACTTTTTAAAATCTACCTATGATATTTGGCATGTTTGTGGTCAGTACTTGGGTCAGCAGCTTCTGATCTTTGGAGAGAGATATATATATATATAGTTGATACTTTTTCCAGGGTACTTGCAAGATTTCTTCAATTTTTGCCCTAGGCTACGTGTTTCTTGTATAAATTCCTTTTTCTCTTTCTAATGAACATCTTGCTTTCCAGCTCAGGTATTCCAGGTTTGTTTAATAATTTCTGAGCAGAATCCCTCTTTAAAATCTTGCCACTGTTTTCTTAATATTTAACCACTGTAAGTGCCTATTGTCACTTGTATGATTTTGAAATGAATTTTCTTTTCTTACAAGGGGTATTTTTGAGTCCACCTATCAAGGGCAGTTGTGTTGTTTCTCTTGCTTTTGTCATTGGTAACTTTAGAGCAAAAATAACTTCTTGAAATATAATTCATATACCATAGTTCATATGAGTGAGCCACCCAGGTACCTCATATCTTTATTTTTTAATTTTTTATTTCTTTTTAAAGATTTTATTTATTTGACAGAAACACAGCGAGAGAGGGAACACAAGCAGGGGGAGTGGGAGAGGGAGAAGCAGGCTTCCTGCCGAGTAGGGAGCCCGATGTGGGACTCGATCCCAGGACCCTGGGATCACGACCCGAGCCGAAGGCAGATGCCCAACGACTGAGCCACTGAGGCGCCCCTGACCTTTTATTTTTAAATCAGCATAGGAAAAGACTCTGTGGTGGGACAACATATAGTGTGTTGTTAATTCAGCTAGTTGCTGTAGTCTTTTGTGCTGTATATGGCAACAGGAGCTTAGCAAGAGATCTGCTGTCTTTTTCATCAGAAAGTAGAACTATATGGATAATAATTAAAATGCTGGCAAGTGAGCTGCAAGGCATGGGTTATTAGGTCTGAAAGGTATATATGCACATATCCTTTTTAATTGTATACACTTTGATAACAACTCTGAATGACCACTCTTATCTTGGTAGACTTCATGGGAGACTGTAGGGGGAAAGAAGAAGAATTTTGTAAAAGAAAGTTCAGAAAACAAAGAGAATAGAGAGAAGAGAAGTGAGAGAGAAATAAATCGTGGACGTGGAAACAACCGGAAAGGAAGAGGTGGCAATCGTGGGAGAGAGTGTAAGTACATTTCAAAAAATTTTTATGCACACTGAAAAGCTGAAAGAGTGGTCCATCGAATGCCCATAAATCTAGTGCCTCAATGCAGTGTGTGTTTTTATAGGTAACAATAATGAGCTACAGCTGAACTGTAACTGATGCAGTTTTATATTAGCACTTGCCTTGGCTGTAGGTAGGTGTATTGTTTGTCTTAAGACTGCCTTCTGTTATTTATCAAGTATACCCTCTAATTTTATTTTATTTATTTATTTTTTTACCCTCTAATTTTAAAGGAGGGTTTTCATTCACTGATAGATAATGCTGTTTATTCTTCCTACTTAATGGATACTCATTGTAATAGGCAAGGGTTAGATTAAGAGGGAGGTTGTCGAATAGGGAAGATTTTTTCTCAGTCCTTTCATTTGACCCATATTTTGGCATTATTACCCATAACAACACAACCTTATGTGCAGACATACCATCTTAGAAACTTTACCTAGTGTATTTATTCCACAGATGTTTACTGAGTCCCTCCTATGTTGTGGCAGGTACTCTAATAGGCATAGAGCAATGAAAAAACAAAT